GTTTTCTACTGGGTATTTCTAGCTTCCCAAGATGACTCTCACCAAAGATAAAGAGCAACTTAAATAAGAGTCCTTTCCAGTAGAGCATTGGGCAACCTTTAAGTGAGCCTGTTATGTAAGATGCCAGTGTGAAATAAAAAGGACACGCTGTCATCATTTTGCATTATTCACAGTTTTGGATATTTTTTCCGTAGCATTATGTACAGCCAGCTCACACTGCACTAGCATAGTTCACCCATGTAGAAGCAACCCCAAAACATGTTATTTGGTGCCAAATTGGCTGTAAATGTCAGTACCTCTGAGGATCTTGGAGCCCCTAGGTTCTGGTGTGCTTTTATAGAGCCCTACACTTCCCCTGTCAGGAATTTTACTCCAATTTATTTGGCTCATTTAATTCTGTTTTCTGTTAGACCACAAACTCCGTAAGTGTGGGAGTGTGTAGTTTGCTCACTGGTATCCTTAGGGCTTTGAATGAGAAGCACCAAATACATGCTTCTTGCACAGATAGTGAAAGTGATGATCTCAGACCAGGTTAGTGTGACGTGAGACTGAAATCCGGTAGAGAGAGTTCAGAGGAACTGGGGCAATGCTTAATGCTTAATGCTTAATGGTCAGCTGCTTCCTGACCAGGTTCTCTGGATGAAGGGCCAACTCAGTTCCTGTTTTTCCCCTCTTGATATACAGGACTGAAAGTTACATATGCTTCTTCCAGAAAATCAGTCAACATTAACATCCTAAATAAACTTAGTAGCTCATCACGTGGAGGGCTGTGTTACACTCCTGGGGAAAAAGTATTCAACATCAAGGATAACTTGGGGCTAGGCAGGTATAGGTGTATGCTGGCCAAAGACACCTGATTGGTATGAGATTCTTCTTCTTCTTCTTTTTTAAATATTTATTTATTTGTACATACAAGAATCAGGGTATAGGCCAGAGGTGCAGGGGCAGTGAGAGAATCCACCAGAGACAGAGTAGGGAGCAAAACAGGCAGACTGAGGAAATACATTGCTGAGGGGAGCAGCGGGCAGGTCAGGAGAGGTCTTCCGCACCATGTGGGTCAGCTCCTTGACTGGGGGTTGAACTCATGCTGCAGTGGCTTTGAATAGCTTCACAGTGCTGTGCTCTAACACGTTGCACCAACAGGGAGGGCCCCACTTCTTCTTCCCAGTTTTACGCATATACATAGGTCCTGGCTGCTCCAGCAGTCAGGATGATTCTGGGTTCAGTCACTAAGAATTCCCAGAGCCTGCCACTGTGGTGCAGGACATGAGGGGGGTGTGGACGGTACAGGTGCACCTAGAGTCCACCCCAGCCATCGCTGCTTGGTAGCAGATTTCCATGATACAGAACATAGGTTACCCAGCGGCAGCCAGTTCTCATTTTGAAGTACCCAAGTGAGGAGACCTAAAAACTGAAGCGAGTGTGGTTCTTTTTTATTTTTTGAATAATTTGGTATTTTATTTATTATTATTTTTATTGGGGTAACGTTGGTGTACAACACTATATGTGACTGAAAGCATAGGTCACACCTCTTCAAATGCATGTTACACATCACACCCACCGGAGTCCTCCACCAAAGTCCACTGAATCCCCCTCTTCCCAGTCCCCTGCCCTCTCTGGTATCTTCAGTTCGAGAGTTCAAGTTCAGTATCAGATGATTTCACTCATAAGTAGAATATGGAGAAATAAAACAAAGCAACAGACAAAACTAAGCCAAAACATACCTGAAAAGCTCTTAAAACTGCCTGCTCTCTACCAACTCCAGTAAATAATAATTAAGAATATGACCTTTTGAAGCGTTAAGCAGACTGATTATTGGAAAGTTGACCAAAGAGTTACTGTGTTGTGTCTAACTTCAAGGCAAAACAAGCCCTGGAGGCTGAAATGTCTTTAAATAAAAAGATAAGCATTAAGTGTTATTCTTAGAAGAACAAAGATTTGGAGAGGAGATTGAATCATGACCACCTTCCGTTCTAAGGGTCCTGGCTCTCCCTGTGCCTTCCCTGTCTGGGCTGTGTGCAAAGTCTTCTCAGCTGTCTCAGCTGTCTGAAAGGTTCTGTTCCCAAACTGGGGAGCAGGACTCACTCTCCAACGCCCACATCACAGATACCTCCTTGATGAGCCCTCCCCAGATGGGGTTCATTTATTTCTTTTCAGAAAATCACAGCGTGGTATCTGCCTCTTTTCATCACCTTTTTTGTATTAGAGTTATTCATGTGTGTATCTGGAAGGCAAAATACAAATATTTTCATATATAAGTCATGTGTGCTTATCTGAATGCACTTCAGATAGTAGGAGCTTGAAATCATTTGAGTGTAGTGGAAAAGTGCCCAGGACTAGCTCAGTTTTTAAAGCAGTACAGAGCTGGCTTTAAGATTATACTGTGCACTGTAGCACAGTCTAGTGATTGCCTCTTTTTATTTTTATTTTTGCTAATATTTTTATATTAGGGTAAAGCTGGGTGTACAATTACTCTCTTAACCATTGTTACGCGCATAGTTCTCTATGGTTGTGCTACCCCAGAGTCCACCCACGGCACTTTCATCTTGCAGAACAGAAACTCTGTACCTAATAAACTATACTTCCTTATTTATGATTTTTTTCCCCTAGCGTTCAAACTTCATAGCAAAATTAATTGGAAAATATACCTGTTTCACGTATGTTCTACCTCCATTATCAACACTCCAGACTTCCTCACCCCATCATACTGGCAGATTTGTTACCATTAATTCTGTTTATTGATATTAAGCAGAATAGAGAATGACTTTTCACAAAATGGAAGTGGCATCCTAGTGTCGAGGGTGATATTAGATAAGATTAGTAGTAAATCTATGCTGATATACTCTCAGTAATAGTATCATAAAGACAAATAAAAGAGGCAAGTAGATAGGTTACGAGGGTGTGAACTGCTTACATTTCTGCTTATGTGGCCAGGGAAGGACTTTCTAGAAGATATCATCAGAAGTGCATGTGTCTAGGAGAAGCAGATGAGGGCAGAATTGGAGGGCAAGGGATCCTGAAAGAAGAGGATTTAATCATCCCCAGCCCCTGCCCAGCCCTAGTGCAAGGCCAGCTGGTGGCTTTGATCCCTAACTTATTCTAATGTGTAGATCAGACATGTTTGGGAAGTACTTTTAAAACATCTATATGTTGTCACAAAAGCCCCAGATAAAGTTGTGGACACAGGACCCATGGGAGCTGGACCTATTTGGGGTTCCTAGTAAGCTCTGGAGGAAGCTAAGTCACAGGCAGTTAAAAACTCCCCTTTCCTCACACAGTGTACAGATCACAAATTAACAAAAAGTGCGCGAGAAACCAGCTTGTCCACACAGTTTCCCAGCTGGCTTCAGGAAGGTTGACACTTGATCCTCATCTCCCCACAGATTTCAGATTTTCCTCTACTTGGTTCGTAGTTGGAAAAACCAGGGCCCCGCCTGCGCAACCATTTCCTCCTTTATGCTCTAGAGGTCAAGCAGAATGTCGCTGGTCAGCTTGTGGTGGGTTCCCGTATCTGTGCAACGAGTCTCCCCTTTCCCAGCAGACTCCTGGCATTTCAGTTGCTTGCCAGGGATTTATAGTTCTGTGTCTTTGTTTTCTTGTGATAACAAAGTCTGGTTAAGTTACAGCAATTGGGTTGCAGCTTGAGAGGTAACAGCTCTTGTGTCTTAGCAGGAGTCACAGCTCTTACTTTACCGCTTGAGTATTTCTGCAGAAATGTCACAGCTCCAGTATCACAGCAAGTGTTTATTTGGGGCTTCAGGACTGCAGTTGGGGCGTGTGGTGGGGGAAGAGTACAAACTTAAGGAGCTCTTAAGCTGAAAGCGCTGAGTAGGGGCCCTCCCTGGTGGCACAATAGATTAAAGCAGTGTACTGCAAAGCTGGCCGCAGCTGCTTCAGAGTTCCATCCCCGGCCAGGGAGGTGACCTACATGGCACACTAGACCTCTCCTCACTCACCCGCTGCTCCCCTCAGCAGTGTATTTAGTCGATTTGCCTGATCTACCCCTCACTCTGTCTCTGGTGAATCCTCTCACTGCCCCTGCACCTCTGGCATGTACCCCAGTTCTGCATGAAGAAATAAGTAAATAAAAAAAAAAAAGAAAGAAAGCTTTTGGGAGTGCTTATATAGGCAAGAGGTCAGCTTTATGCAAGTGAGATTTTCAGTTAGTATAGTTTTGATTGGTGACAAGTTTATAAAGAAGTGATTGGTCGAATTTCAATCTTGCAAGTGGCTTGCTGGTGCAGTTTCATTTTTTCGGGACTCTGGCTGTCAGCATGCTGGGTGCCAGCACTTACATGGGCTTGACCCTCAACAGCTTCTGCAGTCTGGTTGGTTGGTACCTGCCTCTGGATGGTTCCAAGTTAGTTGTTCTTTATCATTCCCTCCTCCTTGATCAAATTTTTTCCTCTGGAGAAATTCCCAGTTGCTGGGATAGACATGTCCCAGGAGAACATGTCCCCTGGGGCAAGGGCAGCAGATTCTAATGCAGGTACAGTGGAGATTAGTTTTCGGATTTAGGATAACATTTGAAAGGAGAATGACATTGCACTTTGAAGTCCAACGGCTGCAACATGGAGCAGGGGCTACGAAGCCATGGGCAGATGTTCTGAAATGTTGTCAGTTGAGTGTGAAGTATCGAGACCAGCTCCAGAGAACAACTGGGAGGCATTTGTTGGTCTTTAAAGCATCGTACATATCTAGTGACGGGCTATGGGGGAGTGTTCAAGCACCTGCAAAATTGTATGTTACCTTTGGAGAATGTGCCTAGGTGTGAGTTTTTCCATAGTCTCAAAGAGATCCCTGGGCTAAACACTCAATAACTGTGACTTTTAAAGACGGTTCATGAAACTTTCTGTGTAGCGCTACTCTGTGAGGCACTGGCAGACGCTGGACGCACAGGTCTTGGGGGCTCCAGATGGATGCCATCTTCACTTTCCTAATTTTCCTTGCATAGACATAAACTTGATTCCAATTAACCTTTGTATTGCATACATTTACAGACTGGAGTTTTCCATCTGCCACACGGAGATTTTTTTATTGAGCCTGTCAAAAAGCATCCACTGACTGAGGGAGAGTACCACCCACACATCATTTACAGGAGGCAGAGGAAGAATGTGCCAGAGATGAAGGCGCCAACCTGTGGAGTAAAGGGTATCGTGATTTAAATCTCTTCCCTGGATTGAGGGCTTTGTTAACAATTGTTTTTTATTGTCTTATTACAATGTGACCTGTTCTTATGCAAATGCCCTCCCCATTGCATTTCTCCATCTTCAAGTCTTTTATATTCATACTGGGATTTTTTTTTTTTAATCTATATCTTAACATATTTGTTAATGATACTACGGTGTTTGGTGACACATTTCTTTAAAACACTTCTGAATCTCTGAAGGTTAAACTGAAGACATGATTTTCAGCATCAGCAGTGTCATAATTCACTAGTGTGGAATATTACCAGAGAGCTCATTGTATCTGCATGTGGAAGACAGATTTAAATGTTTGATGATAATGATGTGTAAAGAGAGGCTGAAAAAAATATCAACACAATATCTGATGATGAAATGCACTCAGCTGCTTTGGGCTGTGTTCTGTTCTCAGTTCCTGGAGGCATTGTTCCCTGGCCCTGTTACCCCAGGGAGAAGCTGATCTGCTCCTTTCTGCTAGGTACAAAACAGCTTTAGGTAGCTGCCAAAACTAAAGTGACTGAATTATTCCCTTGCATTGCCTACACGCTCTTTTTTTTTTTTTAAAAAAGATTTTTATTTGTACATACAGAACTGGGGTACAGGCCAGAAGCTCAGGGGCAGCAAGAGGCTTCACCAGAGACAGAGTGGGGAACAGAACAGGCAGATCGACGAAGTACACTGCTGAGGGGAGCAGCGGGCGGGTCAGGAGAGGTCTGCCACGCCATGGCAGATGCCACGCCATCTCCAGGGCAGGAGGGAATCGAACTCATGCAGAAGTGGCTTTAGATTCTCAGTGCTGTGCTTTAACCCGCTGCGCCACCAGGGAGGGCCGCCTACACGCTCTTTAATGTGTGGGAGATAATAGACTGTACCAGCGTGTTTTCTTTATTGTGTAGTTTCTCCTTTCTTCAGAGGAAAACAAAAACAGACAATGACTAGAGAAAACAGTTAACAAAAGGAGTCCTAGTGTATACGTATACTATATACGTATATCTCTTAAGGACTTAAAAAGGGCTAGGCTGTTAGATGGATTTTAGGTTACACTAATCAGATAGGTCAGATGATAGCAGTTACAGGGTTCAACTATGGTAGAGAGGGACCTACACAGGAAAGATCAGGGTTTGGGATTTCCTGTGCCAGTGCTCAGATAGAAACACAGGGTCTAGGTCCTGGCATGCTTGTGATCACACCAGTTGACCTAGGCATGAAGTCACTTGAGCGCTGGCTAATGACATGGCTACTGCTGGTTAATTCCATCATGTCTGCAGAGTGACATGGTATAACAGGCTATGACCTGATTCATCCCCCTAGATCACATTTCAGGTTTTTTTCACCTGGTTCATATTTTACTTATTCATTAAACAAATATCTATTGGGTGTCTTTATGCCTGAGTCTCTCCAAAGCTGTATGGATAGGATCTACTTCTTGGCCTGAAGAGCTGACAATTTGGTATAGGATATGGATAATAGGGACCCCGTTCTGGCTTTATCTTTATGATATGTGGGTAAGATCATAAAGAGAAATGAAATTGGAATACATGCATTGGGATTTTTGTCACTATGCCAGGGTACTTTGCTATATCGTCTACTCATTTTTCTCAGTTGTATAGTACTCTGTTGTGTGACTCTTCCATTTGATCCCATTTCCTGTAAGTAGATATGTATTGCTTCCAGTTTGGGGTTATTATAAATTATGTTTCAAAAGCTAATCTTGTATCTGTATCTTAGAACACAAATTCATAGAAGTTTCAATTCTGTATATCTAACAATAGAATGAAATCGTGATATAGGATAGAACATCTGTGAGTTTAGCTAATAACTAGGTGATTTTACCAGATAAGCACTGGTAAATGCTGTCCAAAGTTGACATTCAACAGCAGTGAATATGAGTTCCCATTGTTCATATGGAATTCTCAGCCACCAATTTGGTGGCTCTTACTTGGTAATTCACTATGTCGAATTCTTCATGAATAGTTTTTCTCTCTGTACCCTCCACCCAGTTTGTATTTGCTTGTTTTCTGGTTCACTTTTCACTTAATCTTTAATCTGACTTTTCAGGTTAGGACCTAGGAGGGTCCTAATTTTGCCTCCTTTCTTCAGAGTAAAAGTAGGCAGCAGCAGATGCCCCAGGTCAGCTGCCAGCTCCGTGCCTCAGTCAGTATTCACCCAGAGAAATAAAACTTGCAGTAAATAGATATATATATTATATACAGTGTTATTACATAACATCCTTATATATTACACACAATATTACAAAAGTTAATTATAAATAGAATATGTAAAAGAGATGTATTGCAAGGGGTTGCTTTATGTGTTTGTGGGGGCAGGCCAGGCAAGTTGCATGTCCGGGGGAGGCTGTCAGGAGGGAAGGCTGGAACTCTCAGGCATGTGCAGAAGGAGAATTACTTCTGGGAAGCCTCAGTGGTGCTTTGAAGGTCTTTCAACTGCTGAATCAGGCCCATCCGATTATTAATAATCTTATTTACTTAAAGTCAACTAAGGATAGACTTTCATCACATCTACAAATAACCTTAACAACAACCAGATCAGTGCCTGAATATCTGGTTACTGTACACTGGTCAAGTTAACATAAAAAAGATCACCGCCCTGAGTTTCTGGTTGTTTTCCTCTGAATTTCTGCTTACTTGCTTGTAAGTTTCTTCCTTCCTACATTTGGCCCATTTCCTACATTGGCCTGTTTTTATGCTGTGAGTGTTTTTAGGGGCTTCGTAGTAGGAGACGTTTTCAGAATATTTCTCCACCATATTATAAGAAATCGCCTTTAGTGGATTCTTGTCTCGATACTTGGAAATTTTTGAGTTGCTTTTTAAATGGCAGGCAGAGACATTATTAAATATTAGCAAATGCCAAGTAGGGTAATGTTAATGGCAGTGCATTAGAACTAATTAGTAGATCAGGTCACTAATCTGCTATAACCTGGGGAGCTTTCATCGAAACCCACTGGAACTGAAGTGCTTCTAAACAACCATTATACGCCGCATCGAGTCTAAGCTGCTATACTGGTTCTCCTGGGCTAACAGTGAAATTTCTTGGTACAACCAGCCTGAGATTTGTCTTGACTTTCTTGCCTACCTGATTGCCTCCTGACTGGAGAGCTCGGCGACATCCATGCTGTGCTTTGCCATGAGGTGACACAACTGTTTCATTGTTCTACGCTTCCTTTTTAATTTTTTCTTTTTCTGAAGTGGCAGATAGTTTTTGATGACCAGTTTGCAGACTGGCAGGTGGATTGGCAAAGTGCTTCTAAGTGGACGCCAATGAGAAGACTGCAAGGACTCATGAGAGCATTTAGGGAGATAATGTGTGAATGAGCAGGAAGTTAAAATGGCCACCCTGCTGGTTTGCTTGCTTACTAAAATGCAAGCCTACATCCTGAGCACTCAGGCTGGCCACCTGGGCTCTGAAATACTCTTCATCCAGTCAAGGGCTTCACTCAAAGCCAGGCTGCACCAGTAGCGCCTGTCTTCGCATTCCCCTGGCAGTTGACACTTGCTGCCTTGGTCCTTCAGTTCTGCAGTATGTAGGTTCCTACGGTCCAGCCAGGGACAGCTTCCCTGGGAAAGATGCCATCTGTCAGCCTCAACTGCTCCGGGATGCTCTTTACTGATGAACTGAGCTGATGACTGCCCTGGAGTGTGGGTGAGACTTGAAAGGGTGGAGAACACTGGGGAATATGTTGGGAAGGGGATTTGGATCATTCTAGACTAGGAAGGAGATTTGGGTCAATAGGAGGAAAGAATCAGTTCTGATAAAAAGATGGTTCCTAATTCTGAAAAACGACCCCTTCAACCCCCCAAAACAATATGTTAGATATTTACTACCTAAGTTCTGTTGAACTTTCCACAGCTCTGTAGGGAAGTTCTGATGAGTGGTAGCTGCTAGGTTTGCCCTCGGGCATTGCTGGGCTTGCATGTACTTTGGGTGGTGTGAGAAGGGGGTACATCCTGTCCTGACTGATTTTCTGGCTTCCTCCTGCCTCCTGCAGGGACCTCAGGCTGGCTCCTTCCCATCCCAGCCTGGTCTGCAAGGGGTCTCACACTGCTGAACTTGTATTCTCTCACTGGGCTCGTCTTTGTACCCTAACTCCCAAGGATATTTGTGCTCTAAATATCAAGTCTATTATTGGATGTGTAGTAATTCTCTTTTGACAAATGCTTGTTTATTGAACAAATGAACGGTGTGTATTTGCCTCCATTAGGGTCCTGATGGTGTGTGTATCCCCCACCTTACCTGCCCCCGGTTCTGAGCAGTGCAAGTCTGAATCACTGAGGCAAGGCGAATGTGTTCTTTTTGGCAGCAGTTAATGTTAACTATGGATTTGTCCCACAACTTGATTAATACCATGTTTGGGAAAACAAACATTCCCACCCCCACACAGTCCCATCTCTCTGCAGCAGCTGGAAGCCTCATAAATCACTATAAAATGGTTTCTTTTTGAGGACGGAAGTTTGTTAGATTTGAAATCAAATATTTGAGGAAATGTTCAATATACTTTGTGCTCTAAATCCTCTCTCCAAGGGCAGAGAAGTTCTCCCTCAGATTCTTAGTGAGCAATAATCCAAAGACTAGAAATTTCTAGAATTTTATTTGTTAGTCTGTGTGTCATTGATTGACTTCCCTTTCTTAAAATAATACTAATTTGATGCTTTCTGTGGGCCAGATATTAAGGGACACAGCTATGAAAATGCCACGTTGGACCTTAAGCTCTTGGACTTAAGATCTTCTGTGAGAACTTACACAAAAATGATAAACATAGTTTGCATGAATATTGTGACAAATACTGTCATAGTGTATCACAGAGGAACTGGACGTGATCCAGAGGGAATAGAGAGGGACTCTCTGAGAGAGGCCATATGTGTGGGTGTAGGTTCACAGGGTGCCATTTTTCCTGGGGTCTCTGCACAGCCAGCATTGAGAAATGGCATCTTTTGTAGACAGAATTGTCTC